AAATCGCATGAGGGGCCCCCTACGGCTCCTTTGAGCACGAGGGGGGCCCCCCGTCTCCTGCAGCAAGGCAGTGCAACAGTATTTTATGCTGCTCTTGTACGTAGGGAGCTGCGGCTTCCAAACTTCCGCTTTAAACCCTGAACAGTTTAGTGCTGGAGTTGTTAGGGTTGAGGGTTTAGAAGGGAAAGGGTTTATGCTAGAAGCAAGAGACTCAGCTGTTAAGACAGCAAAAGCTTGTGTGTGAGGGCTGGTGCTGTGGAGATAAGATCTAGGGTTTAGTTATATCTGCTGCTGTGGCGCTGCACTTCTTCTGCAGCTGCGACTGCTATTGAAAAAGTTTCCTTTCGTTTTCTTTAATAAGCATTTGCATATTCAGCGCCCCGTACGTATACGTATTTATGCTGCTTGCTTTTTAATGTGTGGGCAGTAGGTTTAGGGGCCTCGAAAGAGGAACTGCAGCAAAAGAAACACACATTTTTACCTCTGAATTACAGTTTATGTCTGAAGGCTTAACCGCAGCTCTGCACAAACAAAGCATGAAAATATATATTGAATGGGGCAATCGGCGATTGAGCGACTTGTTTAAGCGGCAAGGGGATCTGGGGTTCTCCTTTATTGCAATTCTGCAAATTTCTTTAAATCACCTTCAAATATGCGGTTAGAACAAAGAATAGTATTAAAAAAAGAAAAACATATATGCAGCTTCGGCCGCCGTGCTCAGAGGCAACTCCCATGTCGTCAGCGCCTATGCCTCTTGCATGCACAGAAGCTGCAGCGTTGCAGTGTTGCAGTGGATAAGATATTAATGCTTTAGACTTTGAAGAATTCTTATTTATTTTGCATTTACATACCGAAGTTCTGAAGATCACGGTGCCAGGCGTGCGGCCTGTGCTTGGACTTAGTCTCGGTCTTCTGGGCTCTTACAAGGCTTGGACAAGAAAAAGTGGAAATAAGATGGAAGGAGGAAAGAAATGGGGGTCAAAGAGGGGGAAATGTGGCGGTCGTGAAGGTGGAATAATGTCCAAAGTAAGCGGGTGCACGCTGAAGCTGCCTATACACCCCGATACTGTGTCCGGGTGAAGTGGAAACCGTGGAATATTGCATTTAAAAAGCAGCGAACGCGCATTTCTCTTGAATCAAAGCATTAAATATCATATTTTATGTATGTTTTGCACAAAGATCACCTTTTTCATCCATGAATTCCTGAGAAATGCCTCTTTTTGCTTGGTGACCAGAGGAGGAAACTAGAAGTCGGAAGAGGTTGTAAAGGAGTTATATTAACTTGCAACAGGCAGCCTCTTGACGCAAGCAACGAATTTATCAACATTTTGGACAGAGTACGCCTTAACATTGCCGCCCAACCAATGAAATTACGCTTTCTCTCTTTTTCTTCGCTTGCCTTGTACTGCTTCCTCATTTTCTTCATTCTACACAGCAGTAGCCTCTGCAACACCCACCCCAGCCGCAACTACCTTTTTAATAGCAATCTTGACCTCTTACAATTGTCTTGCATTACTCGTGCTATCTTAAAAAGAGGGGTATTGACTGGCAAGCGCAGACTGCGTAATTATGCTGCTTGCTTTTTATTATGTGGGCACCAGAGAGGAAACACAGCAAAAGAGATATATATGTTCACCTCTGAGTTAGAGTTTATTTCTAAAGACTCAAAGGATCTGCGGTTTTCATTCTTTGTTCTTTTCAGTATTTAGAAGAGTTTAGCCCGGCAGCAACAACTCCCCCAGACAAGTAAGTTAGTTTAATTAATTTTTTCTTTGTTATGCTGGAGTTATCTGAATACAGCGTCTGCTGTTTGAGTGGCTGGCTAAACTCCAGCAACTAATGACGTCGAGGTCTTTCTAATATGATGGTTTAGGGGGGTTTAGGGTTTAGGGTTTAGGGTTTAGGGTTTAGGGTTTAGGGTTTGTCGAGAGGTCTGCGGTGGCTTCTGCATGCACAGGGATGAAAAGGATAAGCGGGCGAATGTCACTGCTGTAGATGTCGCTGAGGGTATTTCAGCGGAGCTTCAGAGTCTCTCAGAGCATTCAAAACGTTTTCACGTACACAGCCAGCTCCTTCCGGTGAGATATATATATATATATATATATATATATATATATACATATATATATCTACATATATATATATATGTATATATATATATATAATGATTGTTTGCTCTTTATCTCCTTCTCTTTCTGTTTCTTTTCTTCTCTTTGTTTAATATTCAAGCACTGCTACTTTGAACTTGCTGCTTCCCCTTGTGTTTTTCTGCTGCATGCATGCACCCACATATGCATGCATGCATGCATGCATGCATGTGAAAGCCCCAAAGTTGCATCTATGTTGCATGCAGGGAGTTGTGTTTATTCGATTTACTCGAGAAGAAGATATCCCCTCGGAGATTTGTCACGGCCTGCTGAAATGCGCTGTGAACAACCCTGGAAAATTCTCCTGCAGGTATATATATATATATATATATTATATTTATTTATATTTATAT